AACTTGTTACGCGAGTTCGGGAGGCTGAGGGGAGGGGGAGGGATTTTTTTTTTTATGAATGAAACTGGGTAACTGCCCTCCACTGCGCATGCACAGAGAGAGAGAGAGATAGAGAGACAAATACTCACAATCTAAGGAAGGTCAAGCCAGCGTGGCGTCGTGGTTTGAGCCTTGGACTCGGACTCTGGAGAGCAGGGTTCGAATCCCGGCTGGGCCACCATGGGGAACCCCTTGAGATGACTCTTAGGCGAGTCACACTCTCTCAGCCTCAGAGGATGGCCATGGGGCAAAAAAATCCCCCCATCTCAAGAAGCCTGCCAAGAAAACCCCAGGACAGGTTTGCCTTAGGGTCGCCACAAGTCGGAAACAATGTGAAGACACGCAACAATAACTGCCTTGGCTCAATAGTATGGACTTCTGGGATTTGTAGCTTGGAGAGCTACGGTATTTAGTCTTCGCTGTTGCCACAACCAACTACAGTTTCCAGGATAGTTGGAGCGGTGTCAAACTGGATTAATTCTGCAGTGTGGCATCAGCAACGTGTGTCTTCCCCCCTCCCCACAGAAACAAGGCTGCCATTTTTGGCTGGCCTCCTTCTCCAGGGCCTCTTTCTTGATTTCTCCCCAAAGGTCAATACAGTGAGGAAGGCATAAGAAAACCTCACTTTCCTTCCTTTTCATTGCTTTTTATAGATGCCCTCTAGATGGTGTTTTTTAAAAACCAAACAGGCCCTGGCTTTAAAGTTAAACGATGGGTTTATTTTGTGTGTGTGTGTGTGAGAGAGAGAGAGAGAGAGAGAAGTGTCCTTCACAGCTAGTAAAATGCCTTGAATCAGCTGTGTTTTCCATTTGAGATACATACAACATTGAAGAATTTGGATATTGTACTTTTTGAGGACTAGAATTCCCAATCTTTCCCAAGGTCCAGTACATTTTGACAAGAGTTCTTGGGGCAGACAGCAGTCTTTTCCACAGTTCTATTTGAATCCTTGAGCAAGACTCAGGTTGCACCCGCACTGCAGAAATAATGCAGTTTGACACCACTTTAACTGCCCTAGGGAATTCTGGGAATTCTGTAGTTTTGTGAGTCATTTAGCCTTCTCTCTCAGAGAGCTCTGGTGCCCAGGAATCCCTAGCACTGAGCCAGGGCAGTTAAAGTAGTCTCAGACTGAATGATTTCCGCAGTGCGGATGCAGACCCAGAGAGCGAGAAAGAAACATTCACACACACCCTCTGAATTGTATGTGAGAGACAGTGTGGCATTGTGGTTTGAGTGTTAGACTAAGACTGTGAAGACCAGGGTTTGAAGCCCTGCTCTGTGAGGGAAATCACTGGGTGGCCTTAGGCAAGTCACATTCTCTCAACCTCAGAGGAAGCAATGGCAAACCATCTCTGAACAAAACATGCCATGAAAATCTCTGATAGGGTTGCTTTAGAGTTACCATAAGTCAGAAATCACTTGAAGGTACACAGCAGCAGTGGCAGCAGTAGCAACAACAACAAAAACATGGATTGGGCTGCTTTAAGAGCCATCATGGTGTAGTGTTGGACTACAACTCTGGAGATCAGGGTTCAATCCCCAGTTTGGTCATGAAACTCACTGGGTGACCTTGGACAACTCACACTCTCTCAGCCTCAGGGGAAGGCAATGGCAAACAACTCTGAACAACTCTTGCCAAGAAAACCCCACAATAGTAGTCACCATAAGTAGGAAACAACTCTTAAGGCACACAACAACAACAACAACAACAACAAAAGTACAAATCACACTCTGAGAGGTTTTCTCTCAACTTTCCAGGTGACATTCTCAGTATTGAGAAAAAGACACATATAAATGAATATAATAATAATAATAATAATAATAATAGCAATCATTATCCTCCTCCTCCTGATGATGATGATCCTTATCAGGCTTTAAATTCACTATTTTGCCCATTTTTTCCCTCCCTGGTAGAGAGAAGCAACACTGGCTCAAACTGCCCCAGGTCAAAAAATTTGACAAGGCAAAATGTATTTGAAACTTCTCAGCCTAGCATACTGCTGAGCACAAGCATGAAGAGGGCAGAACCACATGACCGATTCTCCTTAGGGTCACCATAAGTCAGAAACAACTTGAAGGCAAAACAACAACAAAACTTTCCCATCCCCAGCTGATGGTGCTCTGTCAGGTGGAGTATTTGGAGACAGAGTAGGCTTTGTAGACATGGAGGTCAGGAGAAATAACAGGAGTGCAGTTCTGCAAAGTATTCTTTCTATGATTCTGTTGGTCCTAAACTAAGGATCAATAAAAGCATGAAAGGGGAAAGGCAAGGGTTCAATACACAAGAGTTTCCACTTCCTGAGTTCCAGATGTGAGTGGTGAGTATTTAACACCTGAGCCATAGCTTAGTGGTCCAGTATACACTGGATGCATGCTCCACACATCAGTTCCATCTTGGGCATTTTTAGTTACAAGGAGTGGGTGGGGAAAACCCCTGCCCTGGAGAGTTACGGTACTCCTAGACAGCATAGGCAAGACTTAGCCCAAGGCAACTGCATGTGTTTTAAGAGAGGGCTATAAGAGACCAGAGCACATCTTAGCAGAAAAAAACTGCTTTTCTTGGATCACTGCTCCCAGAATCTCCCTCAGCCATGTTGTAAATTCTGGGAGCTGTAGTTTTGCTTTTTAGAACCAACATTTCCACCCTTTGCTCCAGGGAAATGTGCTGTTATCCCAGACTCTAGTACGGTCAGATCTCCTTATCCATGGATTCAACCATCCATGGTTTGAAATATATTTTTTAAAAATGTAAATTCCCCAAAGCAAACCTTGATTTTGCTGTTTTTATATAAGGGACACCATTTTACTATGCCACTGTATTTAATGGGTC